GCGTTTCACAGATAAGAGCCGATACTTGCACGTTTGAAATATGAAAGAAACTTTAGTGTTAGGTTTTGGAAAGTATATTATAGCGGAATTAGTTCTTAGTACAAATTTCTAGTGATTTGACGGTTTTTTTCCTTCATACTTGCAGTTTCAAATAACCCGTAGCAGTAATAAGATCCAAGGGGTTATTACATTGTAGCGAGTATTTTTTTATTGTTAGTCACATCTGGTTGTGAACCCTTAACCTTAGAGTCTTTTGTTTGCAGTTTTTTATACATGTCATGGTACTGCATGCTTTTATTAATTGCTAGGGTCACTTTGAAGAAACAGACCCACTTCATACGTCATATGTATCTCCTCCACTCCAATTATAGCTAAACCAATAGAAAATTAAAAACTGTTTTCCCTCAGCAATGTCACAAAAATTGTGCGCCCACTCCTAGCTTTTGTAAAACGTAAAACATCTTCGAAGAAACACTCGTGAACAGTTATCAAGAACATAGTAAAATAAACTCCAGTCGTTCCAAGTGAAATTTATTTAAATACACTCCATTTACATTTACCTATTGGGAATCCTAATGATTTCACCCGTCATTTAATTGTCACTCACTACTGCTGATACTGCGATGTACATGCAATTAGACTAATTTTTAATTATATTAATCAAAATGAAAGAAAACAGTATAACTGGTAAATGGCAAATTGAAGACTTCCTAATTAACTTTTTAACGATTAACTTTTTTATAGCAATGTGCCCAAGAACTGACGAGTTAATCATTTTTGAATTAACAGTTGGGACTTGTGGGGACAGAGAGATATACACTATGAATCGTCATTATATTGTTATCATTTCGTTACTTATTACCCAATAAAGAGCAAAAATAATGCATCACATAATAAATAAAAAAGAAATCAAGGTCCAGAGCATTGGAAATTGTCCGCGTCCTGTGATTTCTTCAAGAGATCATCGCAATTGTAGTACAGAAGTCGTTCAAGTTGCGATGTATCGTTAAATCCATAGTCGTAAACTATGATTCGATCTATGGTTTAATTTAAGAATATTGATTTTACGTTGGCAATTGTTCTAATCAGGCGTCACCTCATTTGTACCTGTCCAACCACACCTGACACGAATTTTGCACCGTTTTATCGATAATATGGTAAAAAGATGCGAAAGCAATAACGGGGCCAAGCTTTCCACCTCTATTTCTTATTTGAATCAAGGCAAATTCGTTATTCTATAGCTATGTTTGGTCGAGCGCTGGTCGTATCCAAAACAATCTTTCAATGATAAAATACTTGGAATCCACGGCTGCTGTGTTAATTTTTGCTCACGTAGCTCTCGTATTACCGAATATTAACGTAATATCATTGAGCCATGATCAGCGTGCTCCGCATTGAACTTCCTCTTTAGAATGAGTCTCATTGCACTCCAAAACTCTTGTTATCTAAGGATGAATAGTTTGAGCCCACAAACACATAGTTTGCTTAACTTTACCACTCTTTATCGCAAAACAGAGGAGTCTCCTTAAAGTTTGCACTCACATCGACCCAAATGACACATTAGTTAAAAAAATAAAATTCATTTATTAATTAATCTTGTTGCGACTTATGTACTGAAATTTGATCACTCTATCGCCAAATAGCGGAGTCTTCCGCCTTAAAAAATTTTATCCAAACTTCAATGAACTTTCCCAAACTTCTATGTTCTGCTATTTAATTTTTTATTACACCAACCGCAAATCCATATTTCGCCTACTTCTATTACTCCACTTCACCACCAAAAAAAGAAATGTACTTGTGTACTTTGCGTACGCAATGATAGCGAAATAAAATTGTGATGATTAACTTTTCCGTTTGTATGTGATACGAAAAATAAAATATGGATAAATTATTCAAACGGTAATACAGCTTCATAACGACTAATCATAATAATACGGAAGACAGGAAATGAAAGTCTGTATAAAAACGATTTGCCGGAATGAAATATCTGCTGAATCTGAGAAGCGACTCTTCAGGTTATGAAATTCTTAAAAGGAGGAAATAAAGATATGCTGATGATCATAAAACCATTTCAAGATATTAGGGACTTTGTAACCGCGGCACCAAGAAGATTTTTATTAAATCCATCTCCAAGGATTCTCTCTCTCTCTCGTTACAAACGTTGTTACCAATATTGCCTTGCTAATGAAAAACGGAAAAGAAAATTATTCAGTCACATGAAATTATGAGAACCTTAAGTTCACATCGCCCACCTTATTGTACAAAAATTTAATACCCCTTAAAACTGTATTCTTGTACATTCTTTTACTCTGCGTAATAAAATTTTTATTAAAGCATTGTCCTCGATCTCAGTAAAATTCCTGTCATATTACAGAAATAATTTGCATAATATCCATACAAGCTTAGAGAAACTTCCGCGTCCTTATTGTTGAAAAATAATGTGGATACTGTAGGAAGTAAAAATGTTTCTCCAAACTTTTTGTTTGCACGATTCTCGTAAGAGTTTGTACAATTTCATTTCATTGTGGAAATGGTTAAAAAGGAGATGCATACATTTATAAAGTAGGATATTAGGGTATTATACTATTCTTCTCGTCAAGTATCATCGTAAAATTTTATAAAATGAAACATGGAAAATTGAACGAGTTTACTGTTTTAACTAGTAACTGTGTTTTACTGTGATTGCTGTTAGGAGAAATTGTTATGAGTTCATAAAATATGTTAAATTTATTGTCAGTTAAAAATAGGTATTTGTATTCACAAGTACACTATGTTACAATAATATATCTGAAAAATGATAAATTGTTTATTTCTCAGGAATTGTGCTTTATAGGTAGTGCTTTGTCTCATAGAGTACCCTTTGTTTCGGTCGTTAACCAATATGGCTGCGTCAATAGGCATTATGACGACCTTTGTAACCGAACGTGTACCGTCAATTATAAGTCCTACACCATGTTTATTTAAGTGTTCCTTTTTATCATTTCTTATAATAAAAATCCTATTCCGCGTTAGAACAAGCATTTCTGCTTAATTCTCTACAAAATTGTCACTTTTCTGATGGGTTAGGAATTGTGGAAAAATTATATAGTTTGCTTACTTATCACAGAGAAGCTTTTGAGTCAATTTATAGGCTGATAAATATACTTATAATTCTGATTTCTATGCCTTTAAAGGAGATTAATAAAGTAAATACAAAAAATATTACCTTTATCCCTCTCCTATTAATTTGTAGAGTTATGTTATTGAAGTGTTCTTTAGTGTATAAAATGTATACTATTCTATTGTTATATAATTCAATAAATCAAATGAAGAGACGTTAAGTTGAGGTTATGCTAGCTTATGTTAGCTAAAACAAAATGGCTGCAAATGGTTCAAAATGGCTCTCAAACTTTGATATTGACTAGTATTTTTGCTGTTATTTTTGTGTTTGATATTAACATGTGTTAACGTTATGTACAGTAGTAATCATGGCAGCTAATAAATTATATAATTACAATTAGAACAGAATTTTATGGAAAACGTGAAAAATTCTGAAAATTCAACGATCGTATCACTTTTTCGAAAAAAACCAAAGCTTCATCCACCTCGAATTTATCGTTGATACATAAAGCTCGCCGTTGAAATGGATTTAAAACTGCGGACAGTTTGTTTCCGTATTGATGGGCCTTTCGAATTCAGTTATAGCAGAAATTTTTCTGCGTCCAATGTGGGAGCCATGGCGATTCTTTTTAAACCGGTGGAATTCTTTCTTATTTAAGAGAAATCCCCCGGAAGAATAAATCGTCCAGTCGGTTTTCATAAACTGACCCATTCAAGCGAATGTAATACAAACTTGCTGTCTTTACAAGATTTTAAGATTGTTTTTGCAGAAGTATAATTGAATTCGTATTTAAGATAAAAGGAGTGCAGAATGTTTCTTGGAAGAAAGAAATTGTGCGGAGGTTTTCTTAATGAACTACATTTAGATGAATAAAGATAAAAACTAGGGCAATGTAACAATATAGAATGTGTCAGTTTTTTATGGATAAACTTTGTTAATATATTGTATTTGTAGGAATAAAAAAAAAATACTAGATCCACATTAAATTATTAAATTTCTAATTTCAAAATTTCAAAATTCTAAAATTCCAAAGTCGAAAATTCCAAAATTCTAAGATTCCAAATCTCCAAAATTCTCAAATTCCAAATTTCAAAATTCCGAAATCCTAAAATTCCAAAATTCTCAAATTCCAAAATTCTCAAATACCAAAATTCTCAAATTCCAAAATTCCAAATTTCAAGATTCCAAAATTCCAATTTAAAAGTTCTAAAATTCCCAAATTTCAAAATTCCAAAATACCAATCTTCCAAAATCCCAAATTTTCAAATTTCCAAAATTCCAAATGCCCAAAGTCCAAAATTTCAATATTTCCAAATTCCAAAATTCAAAAATCCCAAATTTCCAAAATTTCAAAATTTCCAAGTTCAGAAATCCCAAAATTCCCAAATTCCCAATTCCCAAATTCCCAATTCCCAAATTCCCAAATTCCAAAATTCCAGAATTTCAAAGTTCTAAAATTCCAAAATTCCAAATTCCAAAATTTGCAATTTCCCCAACTCTCCAATTTCAAAATTACCCCAAAATTTACAAAATCCCGAAATTCCTTAAAAAACGTCTATTAACACCATAAAACCTTCACAAAGAAATGTCTCTCAATAATCAAAAAATGAAATTCTGCAAACCACTTAGAATGTTGTATGTATTCGCAACTCGTACTGTAACGAATCGCCGCTGACGTGAAACGAATAACGTTGGAAGTTGGCGAAAAAGATCGGTAAAATAAAAGCTGGTGAATATTCTCGAGAAGTCCTCGAGCGTGGAGGACCCTCCTGAGAATTTCGTAGCCTGGATCGTCATAGTAGACGACGTCTGGAAGGGTGGAAAGGGACAAATGGTCCTCGAATTTCTGAATCACCAGCGCACGAGTCGGCCCATTAACGTTGAATGAACTGACACTTACCTTTCTTCTCGCTGAAGAAGTCCGCGTTGACGTACGTCACACAGAATAGGATGAATATCACCAATTGTAATCTGAAATTAAACGTTTTACGATATTAATTATATTTTTCGAGACAATCGAATGGTGAAATTACTCTAATAGTGCAGTTGTTCTGTTAGGAAACATTTATTAATGTGACTATTATTGTAAATGATTTTATAAAAATGTTTTATAAGAATAGTTTCGTAAAAATATCTTTGGGCGAAATAAACTTTCTGATTGTAAAAATTAATTTACTCTTTTCGAACAGCATAGTGTAAAAGTTAAATAGAATATGAAATTTAATAAATTAATAATTTATAAATATTTTGATCCACAAGTTAAGTATAATAGTTTACAAACTTTTTAAAATATATTAAAGTTCATAATTATATTTTTGGATCAAATGTAAGAAACTGTTCTGTTAAAAAAATTGAGAATTTCTCAAATCAATTTGACAATTATTGCAAAGGTTATTGTAAAAATATTTTGCATATTCTTGTCTGAAATCATTTGCTTTTTATCTGACAGTGAAAGGTAGTTTACTCTTTTTTAAATATTTTGTGATTTTATATAAAAATGAATTTTTTTAAATTTTATATAAAATGTACAAAAATGTATTTTTTGTAATTTTGTATAAAATGTATCAAAATGTATCTTTTGTAATTTTGTATAAAATATATAATTTTTATTTTGTATAATAAAAAACTGTATAATATTTCAGTAAAAATTATTTTACTCTTTTTATGTATTTAAGCTATTAATACAACAATATCAAATTAAATATAATAAAAATAAGTAGAAAATATAACAAACATAATTAAATTAAAAATTCTTCCTTAATATAACCTAACACTGTTAATATTAAATTAAAAAGAAACGAAAGAGAAGGCAAAGTATTCTGAATTCTCTTATACAAGATAGAAATCGTAATCACCATGCTGTGTGATATTTAATAAAAAAAAAGAAAATGGAAGCAGAACGATTCGAAATGTTAACGTTGTTTCGAGCAAAATAATAAGGTTTATCTTCTAAGACTTTTAAAGCAAAGATGATGGTACAACGCCAGAAAATTGGGTTCGTTGAAACCTGCTTCGTTAATGCGAACTCTCGTGGAAAAAGCGTAGCTTCAAAAGATGTTGAAAATTTTCCGAGGAAATAGCTGCTGGATACAACGAACTTATTTAGCGTAAATATTTTCGATGAGATGAAAGTTTCAATTTATTAATGAAATTTTACTGTGTTTTTTGTGTTTCCAAAATTGAAATAGAAATATTTTTATTTGGAAATTCTTGCATTTACAAATTCTTAGATTTTTGAAATTTTAAACTGGCAAATTGACAAATTTATGAATTTATAAATTGATAAATTGGCAAGTTTACAAATATGTAAATGTAGAGATGTGTTGGATGACCAACGCGCCCAAACAAATCAGATAGCAAACACTACAGACTCATCCCCAAAAAACATGCTAATCGAAACGATTTCTACTCCTTACTCATCCTGGATCTTGCACATGTCCTGAATCACACTGTGCCTTGACCACCATCCCTACCTCAATCTATCTCCAGCAATAGTATATAAAACCTCGCAATATCGAAAAATGCTCAGAAAGAGTATAGTACTTAGTCGACCCAATAAAGCTGTTCGAGTTTTAAAATAAAGTGTCTTGTCAATTGTCCAGGAATCCAACAGATGTAACAATTTGGGGATGTGGGGATTTTGGGTTGTAGAGATTTGAGGATATAGGGATTTGGAACTGTGAAAGTTTGGGAATTTAGCTATTAGGAAATATTGAGATTTGGAGATGTGAAAATTTGGAAATTTAGCTATTTGGGAATGTTATGATATGAGGTTGTAGGCATTTTGAAATGTAGAAATTTGGAGATATAAGGATTTGGGATTGTAGGAATTTCAGGATATAGAAATTTGAGAATTTAACTATTAGAAAATGTCGATATTTGGAGTTGTAGGTATTGAAGGATATAGAGATTTGGGGATGTAGTAATTAAAGGATGTACAAATTTGAGAATAAAGAAATTTTAAAACTTACTTATTTGAATATGTAAAAATTAATAAATTGAAATTTGGAGATTTTAAAAAAAAATGTATCTTTCCTGCTGTCCATAACAACAAACCTAATACAAAGTAATAAAAACAAAAATTCGACCGCCTATAAACAATGCAACTAGCACCAGTTGCATAGTGTATTCACTGGCGCTATCGGAATCGAACGCAGTCACCCTATATGTGGATATGTAAATATCGCTTTTCCAGCATCGAGCTACACACGATTTCTCACGTGTCGGGGTTAGTGGAACAGGAGGAATTCGTTTCAAAAGTGTGACACGCATTTGCATTTGTCGGCGAGAGGCGAATGTGGGCGTCTGCCAGCAACCGATGCGAAGATCATGAATCATGATCGAGAATTCTGGCCTTGCGTAACTCTTCGACCATCCCACGTGCACGGCCGTGCCCGCGGATTTCGATTTCCGTTCAGCAAGGTCGTCGCACCCGTATATTGTACCTTTCATGGAAATAGACTGAAATAAGCGAAAATTTGAATGCCTTGTAAAGTGGATGTTACGGAAAAAAATTATTTCTCCCGTTATTTTGGTTCTGGATTTTATTACATTATGTTGTAGAATCGAAATGCTACTGAAAAATTGTTAAAATGTGGTGATATATATTATTCAAGAATTTGAAAAGATCAAAATTAAATTTCTAAATTCCAAAATCCTCATATTCTATAATCAATCATAAAATAACAAATCATGAAATAACAAAGTATTGTTCAAACATGAAATAATAAAATATTGTTCAAACCTGAAACAACAAAGTATTGTTTAAACACGAACTAACAAAATATTGAAATAATAAAAAGAATATAAAAGAAGGGTAAATCGATAAAACTCGAATTTTCAGTTAACGAAGCTTTGATAACTGAAAGTAGGAAATCCATCATCGCTGGCAACATTACCGACGGATGACGATACTATTAACCTAGTGACCTACGAAACGATATAAAGCGGAACTAAAAGAACAGAGAGAAGCCCGAATGCGAACCAGAGACACGTGTACCGGGTGGCGGTGGAATAATTAAGACAGGGAGTCGAGTGGAGACGTCCACGAGACGCTAAAGTGGTGCTCGTTAATGAAGCGATGTTCCAGTGAGGCACAAGAACCGACGAAATCCTACAATCTAGAGTCTGGAGAATCTTCTACAAGCTACTTCTGACTATTCTTTGACCGGAAGTGACAATAGGTAATGCTGGTTTCACATTTAACCGGTTTTTGAGAGCTAACTTCTGTACTTACTGTGACTTAGGTAAATTTAATCTATTTATACAATAGAATAATCATTCTATGCGAGCAAAAATGTCCTGTAATATTTGGTCACTCCCTCATTTTTATTTGTAATTCTAAATAATAAAAATAGGTTAATCAACATTCACTAATCTGGCAACTAGTAAACATAATCTCACTTAATTTGAAGTCAAGGTCTTCAACTACTGACAGAGGAAAACATACAGTTATATCCATACCTGATTTTATTGTAAAATATATCAAATAATACTGTAATCATTCTATATGTACAAGCAAAAATGTCCTTTACGAT